AAAGAGATGAAAACCTAATAGTAACTTGAGTTCTTTTGCGTTGGATAAACATCAACGGATGTCTTCAGTCACGTCAGCTCTCAGCAGTGAATACAGGAGTAGATGAGATGATGAACACTCTCTATTTTTCACTAACTCTAAAAGAAAATGAATAACTACTTAAGACTATTTTGCTTGTGTGAATTCTCCAGCTCTCTTTTTCTGAAACTTAAGGTTAGCTTTTATAGGCTTAAGTGAGGATGCGAAAGATGGTAGACTTTGGATCTTGGGCCTTTGATTCAAATGAGATTTCAACCCAAATCAAATTAACCATTCCTCCAATTGACAACAATCAGAGACAAGTTTTTAATACATACAACAATAGGAGACAAGTCGTCTTCTGTAGCAGATAGTGGCGCAGAAACGTAGGTGGCAGATGGTTGGTGCAGGTTGTGCTTTTGCATATGTGGTCCCGCCATACTATGACTTTTGTCTCTATGTGCAATTGATCTTATCTTATTGCCTATTTAATTCTCCCAAGCGTATTTCTGCCACGTATGCCCTATAAATGAATTTCCCTCCAAGCTTTTGGTGAATAGATGATTGTGATCCTCAACAACTTCTAATTCTTCTAATTTTTCATACTCCAGACATTGTCTTGGCCAGTTACGCACCAGCTTGCCTTAAAACTGTCTTTCAACAAAAAAACACACATAAAACTACAAAGGGAAGCACCTAGTGTGTTTAAATAAAAATAAGTTAAAAATAGAAAAATTAATTGAATAAACATTAAACTTAAACTAAAACCTATTTGAAAATGGATCATAATGACACACTAAAAGTGTATTATCAAACTCATGCTTCTTCTAGTTTGTAGTTTCATGTTGATTTGAGCTTTTAATTTCAAACTTCGTTTTCATTTTTCTTCTGGTTTTTCTAAAATTGTGGATGCCTCAGTTGAAATGAATTCAGGTGAGTTACATGTTTGAAATGACGATGAAGAGACGTATCTAACAAGATTAGTCTCAGCCTCTATGGTTTCCATTTCACGGATCACGATTTTCTGTAGATTTCATTTGAGCTTGAATGCCTGGATGTTGAAGATGATGAGCTGACACCATCTAACCATCCATAGCCTAACAATTGTTTTAATATGGACGACTTGACTTTTTATGGCTCCATGTGTGTAAGTTTACTTGGTTCTATGATGGATGTGTGCTTTTGAGCCTTCTAGATTATCACGTCAATTAATGAAGAAGGATCTGACGCTTCTTGTTTTTTTCTCTTTTTCTTATTTTTTGATTTTATTTTTAAAATTGCATTTATCTTCGAAAATTCATAAAAAATAACTACATTAATATTTTTTCCTCCAATTTTTTCATGGTTTCATACAAATATTTCTTATTTTTTGAGCATTTTTATTTCATTATTTGCTATTTTTCATGATTTTTTTTGCTTTTACATTTGTTTTAAATAGTTACAAAAATATCTTTATGCATTTTAAAATTCTGAAAATTTGTGTATATGATACTTGAATTGTTTATGACCTTTTGGGTTTTTCTTGAACATTTGTAGTTTTATTTGATGCATCTTTTGATTTTTCATGTTTATTTGAATTTAAAATTTATTTTTCTTGCATATTATTTTATTTTATTTTATTGCATTTTGATATTGTTTGACCTTTGTTGACCATTGTCTGGTTTGAATCTTGGTTGATTTGGTCAAGATTCCTCAAGCTCAATAGATCTTGGGTGTTGATAGGGTGAAAACCCTAATCCACCAAGATGGATGATTGATCTTGATGATAGCTTGATCAATTCCTTGATTCAACTTGTTGTTTTAGTTTCGTTGCTGTCTCTTCCTCATCTCCTTTCTTTTTTTCTTTTGGTTGATGAAAATCTTTAACATCATAGATTGTTGATGATCAAAGATATTTGAATCTTCATTACTTCAAATATGTTGTTAAATGATCATTTATATCACTCACTTCACTTTGGAGTAGTGATAGGTTGCCTTTGATCATTGATGGATGTCTTTGATTAGGATGAGACCACCAGTTCTTTTCTTTTTAGTGTGACAAGTTTTAGGAGGATGATTTGCATGTCATTTTTCTAGCTTGTATTAGCACATAAGTTATTATTGACCGGCCTCAAATAGTTGTGACTTCTACATAAGTTCAATTACAATTACTTAACATAATGCTAAATTGGTCTCGAATCAAAAACAAGTCATTTTTGTAAGTGAGGTTGTCAGTCTCTTATTCTCCATACTGTGATGTGAAATAAATTGTCTCTTTGTCATATAAGAGAGCTAATGACATACTTGTTAATTTTGTCCAAGTTGGAGTCATTCTCTTAATGATGTATATATTTCATGTTTTCATGCTTATGGATGTCTAGTTGAGTGTTCTCCAAAGAATGACAAATTGACTTTTCTTTCCTAATTACTAACTTACTAACTTTTATTGATCTTTACTTTGATTGTCATTTATAGCTTGTTATTTACTTATTACAATTCACTTTATGCTTTTTTATTTTAGCATCTTATATCATATTGTTTTCCCTTTGTTCACTTGGACCTTTATTTATGCTTATGCTCTTTTTATTTTGTCCACTTGGACTTTTTTTTTCTTTCTCTTAAGATATTAATAAATATCAAAACTCCTAAAAAACTTGGTTCTCTTAATCCCGGATTATTGTGCTCTTGTGTTTGGACTTAGAAGTAGGACATTGACCTTGGCTTGGAAATATGTCTTGAGACCTATTTAGATTCATTTGGTACCCTTGCCTTAAGGATTCTCTTAAAGACCTATCTTGGTTATTATGATTTCATTTGATGCTTGGATTTTCATTTGCATATCTGGTTTGCTTAAGGCTTTAATCTAAAGGAGGAAATTCTTGATTGACTTATGTCATGGGGGCTTGCTAGCTTCTCTTGGTTAGATCTTTCTTCGTCCTTAACTTTTATTTTATGCTTTAGCATAATCACTTCATCTCCTTCCATTCTTCAATTTTTAAAATCTCCTCCCTTTTTCAAAATCTTCTTTTTTTCAAACTACAACCTCTTTCATGATAAACCCTTGACTTTGTCAAGTGCATTTTCAAAACCTTTTCTTTAATAAATGCTAATCAACTTTAAGCATATTTTTACAATTTCAAAAAGACTTTAAAAAAACACTTAAACTCACTCAAACTTTTGTGCCTTTGTGCACTTTTTCTTTTAAAACTTTTCATAAAGTTTAGACATGAATCATTTTCATAGTTGAGATGTAATTCTCCAATTCTCCATAATATTTAAGATGTTGAAATTTTCCACTTAGATGTTGATTGATAGACTTGTTGATTTTAATCCAAGCAAAAATCCTCCATCTCAAGGTGATGCAAATGATATTTTCTTATACTTGTGGGTGACTAGTTGTAGTTTTCTCTTTAAAATAACAACTTTTCTTTTCATTTAAAATGAACTAAACAAATCCATTTTGTTATTTATACTACGAACTACACAGTTTTAATCCTATATCGTACTTTGTGGGTATGTAGGCATAAAGCTCAAGAAGTCTCTCAAATCATAAAAATCTTAAAAAATATTTATTTTCTCATCTCTCCAATCTCATTTCAAGCAAACATTTAAAACAAAAAAGCGTAGATTTTTCAAAGATGTTCCTATAAAGTAATGTAAAGGTTTTGGATGCTAACACATTCCCTTTGCGTAACCAACCCACTTACCCTATCTCTGTTTATTTTGTATTGTTTAGGACTTATTTAGATTTTGTTCGCTCTTTTTCCTTTCCTTTGGATAAAATAAAAGTGCGGTGACGACTCTTGTTTTGTGAGTTAAATTAATCAATAACTTAATCTCAAATATTTCCGCTACATGCGTTACAACCATCACGACGGAGACACGAGGTTTCGGAGACAACGCCAAAGAGCGAGGGGGAGGGGGGTTGATGGCCAAGGAGCTCGAGGAGTTAGAGGAGATGTAGTCCGACATACACAATTGTGCAATAATATATAGTAGTTGTACTTTGGTCTCATTATGGATTGGATTTTATTTTCACCTCATGACAATTTATCGTCGATTTCGACTTTATTTATATATGACATTTTTGAACCATCTGAATTTATATACGTCATGTTTTACATATCAATTGTATGATTTAAGTCTCGTCATATAACATTATACGTAACACTTATAAATTTTCATATGAATACACATAAACATAATATATCATGACCATTATGTTCTGATAGGTTACGAAGATACATCTCTGTAAAATAAACGTAGATGCATCTCCGGTACAATAAACTTGTAAAATGACTTTTGAGCGTGATGCATGATATATGTTGATATATGTTTTAAATTGTTACGGAGATGCATCTTCGATTCATTTAACATTAGAAGACGCGTCCAAAAATGTATCTCCAGAATCAAAAGACATTTAAACATTTTCACGTAATGCTTAAATAGTATATATAATGCATTAAGAAATTCCCTTGATTTTTCATCATGGTGTGAATTAACATCCAATGAAATGGGCCTAAACCTACACTTGACTGAGCCCAACCCAAATTCAAAAAATAGAAACCGGAGCTAGGTGAAAAAGACCACCGGCGACGGAAAACGTTCAATGAGAAAGCACATAGAAAACACAAAATAGAAGCGCTTAGCAATAACGCACCCTCACACGGATCAATGACATGGCATTAAAATTTAAATTCCCGCCTAAACCCCTACCATTCCCTTCATTTTCATTTCATTCGCAATTGAATTTCAATTTCCCTTTAAGGCCTTTAATATCCACCCGCATTTGTCCCTAGCCTTATGTCATAGTGTCATTCACAACAAACGCATTTCACAAACACCTTCTCTCTCTCTCCCTCTCCCAAACCCTAGTCTCTCATCTCTCTTAACCGTTCGGTGCGGTTTTTCCTTCAATCTCCGTCGTTTTTTTCGCGTTTTCTTCGATTTTCTGTCACTTCTCGCTGAAAAACTAACGCGATCGTTTGGTTTTAGGTTTCATCATGAAAGGAGGAAAGTCCAAGGGTGAATCGAAGAAAGCCGAAACGAAGTAAGTATAAACCGTTGCTTAATCACATCGTTATCTCGTTTATTTATATAATCATTCAAATCGTTCGTTAAAACTGAAAAAAACTGTTAAATTAGGGTTTGGTATTTTCCAGATCTGAGATCTGATAATTGAGTATAACTAACGTGATGTGTGTCTCGGTAGAAGAATTTTATGTTCTGCATGTTGATGATTTTGTTTATTTTGATTTTGATGTTAGGCTTGCGGTGAATAAGAAGGGCGCTCCCGCCACCAAGGGCGGAAAGAAACCAGCCAAGGGAAAGGAACCAAAGGACCCTAACAAGCCGAAGAGGCCTCCAAGTGCTTTCTTCGTTTTCATGTAATTATATTTTCTTCTGGTTCTTTTTTATTTCCGACGGTTTCTCGTTTTTTTTACAGAATATGGTAGTAATTTACGTGTTGACTTTTATATCTTTCGTTTAGGACTATTGCAATTGTTACGACTATTATTAAATTGATTTTAATTGGGTTTTTTTTTATATATAAAATGAAATTTATGCATGTGAAGTGAAGCATGTTTGACCTATTTTGTACTTCATGAAAATAATTATGACTACATGATGGTGACATACTATTGTATACTTTTGTTTTGATGGGTATTCTTAAGTTTGTTTGTGGTTTTTAAAGGGAGGACTTTAGGAAGCAGTTCAAGAAGGAAAACCCTGACAACAAAGCTGTGTCTGCAGTAAGTAACTTATCCTATGCTTGTGGTTGTACTCACATCAAGTGCAATAAAGGATGAGTTACTAAATCTATGTATGTGTACTGTTTTTAGGTTGGTAAAGCGGCTGGAGTAAAATGGAAGGCGATGTCTGAAGCTGTATGCATCTTTCTGTTTCTTGTTCAATGTTTGTGCTGATTTTTTAGTAGTTGTATTTTTATGACTGGATTTTGTAGGAGAAAGCCCCATATGCTGCTAAGGCAGAGAAAAGAAAGGCAGAATATGAGAAGAGCATGAAGTCCTATAACAAGAAACAGGTGGGTGAAATTTGACTTTTTTTAACAAACTTGCAAATTAGGATATTAGGTTCTCATGGGTTGCTTTTGTTTTTATCAGGCTGAAGGCCCGGCTGCTGCTGATGAAGAAGAAGAATCTGAGAAATCAGAATCTGAGGTGCATGATGAGAATGATGACGAGGAAGAAAGCGAGGAGGTTGGTCTAGTCACTCAAGTTGATTTATTTATTGTATGACAATTTTTTTGAATTGTTTTTAATTTGATATATTTGTTTTCATGTAGGAGGATGATGACGAGTAGAAACTTGGATGATGATAACATTTATGTAGCATTGCTGATGATTTGATCGTCTGATGTAGATGATTGTCATTTTCTTATAAAAAATGTCTTGCTACCTTAAATATTTTGCTGCTCTTAGTTAATGTTTTGTCTGTTCAAAACGTGAATAGTTAAAATGAGGGAGCAACCTTTTATTTGTACTTTTAAGGCCAACTCTTTAGTTAAGAGGTGTTTATCTTTTGTAGAGCTTTTAGATTTTCATGATGGAATCTCTTGACGTTTGTATTAACATATTTTCCTTACTAGCTTTCATTTCCTTTGCGCTGTATCATTGTTTTGTGTCTGATGTTTAATTTTTCTGTTGTTTTAGTTAACTTTTGTCTTGGTTTAGTTCTAACTACGAAATTCTTGTGTTCCTTGTTTATTTTTATTAAAGTGCAGCATTACTTTCACATAATGAGCTGCAAAATTCAAACAAATCCGAGTCAGTTGGATCACATAGTTTTTTGTTGTGGTAATTACTTATGGACGTGTTTTAAACATCTATTGGAGTCAACTGGATCACGATAGTTTCAGTATTTTGTGGTAATTACTAAAGAACCTGTTTTAAATCTCTTTCACAAATTAACCTCTTTTTTGTGGTAACTAATGAACCTTTTTAAAACCCTGGTGGTTGTTTCCTTCTCAAATTTGTCTGTTATGCATTTTTATCTTTTGAGTGGAAGATGTGTAATTCCTTGCATGTTTGTCTGAGTCCCCATTTTTGTTGATTATTTGTTTTAGTTTTTTCCTTCTCAGACGAAACTATGAACTGAGAGATTGGTTTTTCACGTGTACTCCACCTCAATACTTCGATCACTGCCTTTTTTGGTGTATGTTGAGACTTTTAGCCAATTGAATGAAATGTATGAGGATTCTTATGCCAAAAAGAACAATATTAAAAGCCATGATTTATTTAGAAAAAATAAAATCAAATGAAAATCACGTCTTTGTCAAGAAATTAGATGCTCACCATAGGGTTTGTTGTAGGGGGTTGAATTTATATGCGCACCATATGGTCGGCCTTGGCAATAGGCAAGAACTTGGCTGAGTTGCATCTCATAGGCTGGCTGCCTCTGTTAATGTTTGTAACCGTTTTTCTGCTGGTTAAATTGAATAGCTTTTTCAATAAAAAAAGAAAAGGAAAATCACGTCAATGTTATTCTACTCTTTAATCTATGAAGTGCAATGGTTGGCGGAACCGATAACATCACTTTCATAACTCTTTTTCGATTTTATAAGCTTTGAAAAATTCAGAATTATTTGAATGTACTTATGTGTGAACATGACTTCATTGAATGGAAGAGTTTCATATCCTCATCTTCAGATATGACCTTACCTACACATGGGGTTAAATTGACACTAACTAGTTCTGAGGAGTATACCCACTCAATAATAGTATAGGAAAAAAAGCACTAACCTCTAGTCTATTACATAAGCAATTTATTGCATAAAACAGGGGTATGATGGGATAAAATGCTTACTTATATTTGCCTTAGTAATATCTACTCGCATGTTGAGAGTTTTAAATCATATCCCGTTCTTAAAACCAACTTTCCTATGAAAAAGATCCACTAATGTTAGTTATGTTTACGAAGTTTTTGAAACTCACTCATCTTTAGTAGAAACCAAAAGGTTAACCATTGACCATCGTTTGCCTGCGCTGCCTACATGACCTCTGGTCAATGGTTTTTAAGCCTTTAGTAAAAAACCCAAAAGTTAGCAAGGGCCACACTGCGTACAGATAAGTATACTTTCTTGAAGCATATCATATAAAAATCACATTTTGTGGTTTTTTTCTCAAAGTATTAACCGAAATTGAGAAATATTCAAGACACGAGGTATAATGATTCAATTAGTGCCTGATATTTTTTTGTTGTTATGAAAACAACATATGAGGTTGTGTGGAATTACACTATAACATTTGTCTAATATTTTTAATTTTGGGTTGGCCCAACCGATGTTAAGGCATAGGCGGATTTAAAAAATGGATCTCGGTGACCCTAACGAACTCATTTAGTTTATCATTAGGGAGTATCAACGTTGAGACAAGAGCAACACAAGTGAGAGACACCACATATTCACTCAATAGTTGTATGAGTTCTCCCACTTTTAAATGTTCAACTCTCCATATTTATAACCAATGTGAGACTCCAACTCACACTTGTTATATTATTGTCAATAATATAGGATATATTTTTTTTAAATATTCGCAATTTGCGGTCTTTCAAACCGTCACAATATTTAGGTTACATCAGTTCTCTAACTGTCGTGAAAGAGAATGATGGTTGGTGTGACGGTTTTGACAACCGTCATAATACAGCCTTGCGGCGCACATTTCTGGGACGGAGATGCAACCGTCGTAACATGCAAATTGTGTCGTTTCTAGCCCTCATAACTTACCAAAATAAACTGTCGCAATTTATCAATTTTCTTGTGGTGTTATCATTCTTATTTGTATACAATAAAACACATACAAGTTTTTAAACTCAAAACAATTCAAAGTTTTTTGTTATTCTTTAATATTTTCAGATATTAACAGGCAAATGAAGAGACTTTAATCAATTACTTAAATAAAGTTAATTCATTTATGAACATGTTCGTAAAATTTCAAATTAGTCATACACCCCAAGGTGAAAATGCAAAGGCTGATAAACTAGCAAAGCTAGTTTGTATCCAAGGCCTCATCATTATAAAATCGTAGTCTTCTAAATCATACATACACTTAGCATATTTGAATCAAAGTATGTGTTATTACTATTAATATATCATTGACAAACTATTACTATGTTTGGAAGATAAATAAGCTGAACACGTAATTCATGGTATACACAAAGGCATATACGCTCACATAGGACTTTGGTGTCTAAGGTACTCATATGGTTAATACTGGGCGACATTGATGAATGATGAAAGATTACATGGAAACCATACATAAATGCGATAAGTGCCAAATACTTTTCAACCTTCATAAGAACCACCTTAGATATTACATACAGAGTACTATTTTTTTTTTATATTTTAAAAATGGATAGAGATCGAGCCTTTTTCCATTATTACTATAGATAGTATGACAAAGTTATGTGAGAAAAATAACAATTGTCGATATGGCTTAAGGCATCCCATCATAATGGACAACACCACCTGATTCACAAGCTGGATTGCTTAGTTAACTGAAAACAAGAGCAAACAAAATAAATAAATATATATAGTACTTGCTAAAAAAATATATATAGAAGCTTTCCACAACCATTTATGGAGAGAGCGTATCATTTAGAGTCTATTCTCCACCCTATTGAAAGGATATGTATTTATAGATTTCTCTGGGACATATGGTTTTCTTGGAAAGGGCCACCGCCCACTTAGCCAATAGTGAATACTTGAACTCCTATTTCTACGGGAGTTGTGGGTCAAATAATTACCTTAACTTTCTCTCTGCCCAAAAAAGTGTCTTATCCCAGTTTCCCACGTAGGAGTTAGCAAAGAATACAAGATGATGTGATACCTTCCTGTGGGCGAAATTCACCTGTCGCCTCTCCTTGGGCGGTCTAAAGGCACCATCTTTCCATTTGCAATTATAACACTACATAGTCCCTGAAGCACGATGCATTCGGTAGAAGATGAATTCTTTTTTTCTCTAGAGTTTTTGTCCCTCATTGGGAAACCTGAGTCTTTAATCGCGGTTCCTGCAATGTAGCTTGTTAAGATTTCCTCAAACAAGAGCTTATTAGTCATTGAAATTCCATATCCTTTAGGCTTCGTGACATGTGTCCTAGCTGATGAGACATAAAATCCCTCAGGCGAGGCATTGTAATTCTAAGACGAGACTTCTATCTAGCCCTCAAGCAAGACTGGTGATCATGTCTCTAGGGAGGGATATGGGTCACACCTCTTATATGTGATTTATTAGATACGATCTTGCCCGAGGAGGCACTTAGTCCCTTAGGAGGAAGTTTAATTAGCCTAAGTTTTCAAGCATAGTAATGTATAACTCAAGTGATGAGACACTAAGTCCCTCTGGAGAGATGTTTATCTTCTCAGGCAGGATTTTTATTGAGCCCTCAAGTAAGACTGCTAATTCTGTCTCCGGGGAGGGTTAGGGGCCGCGCCTCTTAGGCTACAATCTTGCCCGAGGAGACACTAATTTCCTCACACAGAACTTAAGTTAGCCTAAGTTCTTATGCATAATAATGTATAACTCAGATGATGAGACACTAAGTCCCTCAGGTGAGGCATTTTATCTTCTCAGGTTGGACTTTTATCGAGCCCTCAAGAAAGACTGGTGATCCTGTCTCCGAGGCGAGATATGGGTCATACATATTAGGCGTGATTTATTGGATACGATCCTGCCTGAGGAGGCACTAAGTTCCCCAGACAGAACTTTAGTTAACCTAAGTTCTTAGGCATAATAATGTATAACTGGGATGATGAAACACTAATTCCCTCAGGAAAGGCATTTTATCTTCTCAGGCGAGACTTCTATTGAGCCCTCAAGCAATACTATTGATCCTGTCTCCGGGGCACAATATGGGTCGGGCCTCTTAGGCGTGATTTATTGGATACGATCTCTCCCGAGGAGGAACTACGTCCCTTAGGAAAAAGTTTATTTAGCCTTAGTGATTCTATTTTCGGGGAAGGACACGGGTCGCGCCTCTTAGGCATGATTTATTAGAAACGGTCCTGCCGAAGGAGGCACTAAGTCCCTCAGGAAGAAGTTTAGTTTGTTTGCATTGTCCTGAATGACGACAAGTAAATTCTAGTGGAAGTCTAACACTTGGATTCATATTTCCTTGAGGGGGTGAAAAGGACCTTCCTATAGAAGTCTAGCATAATGTAGCGCTTCGAGGGGCAGAAAGAATCTTTGTCGAGAAGTCTAGCTCAATGTAATCCCTCGAAAGCTGACAAGGACCTTCTTCGAGAGGTCTCACTCAATGTAGTAACTCAAAGAGCAGAAAGGAACTTTGTCGAGAATTACAACTCAA